GGACTGGTCGCCCTGCTCTAAGACGTGCGGGAAAGGTTTCAAGAAGAGATTGTTGAAATGTATTTCTTACGATGGCAGCGTGCTGCCGCAAGAAAGCTGTGAGCCTTCCAAGAAACCGAAACACCTGATAGACTTCTGCAATGTTACAGACTGCAGTTAAATAGTATAAGTTGGGAAAGCTAAATCTTTTTTATTATTTTATTTTTTTCCTTCAGAACAGTGCACTGAAAAAAAGAGGGCTAGAGGCAGCGCATGTGTTTTTGCATACAAAATTCATGGTGAGGATCCATTGAGGTGGGACAGTGCAAATAGCTTTAGTTGGCCTTGCATCCTAAAAATACCCTGCCAACTGAAAATTTGATAGGATAGCAGACCCATGTCACTCACTTGTCTACAGCAGATAAGGCCCGAGGGCATTATAATTGCCTTTTTTTAAGTCTGTTACAAATTACACAAAACATAAGCAGTGGCCAAAACACGTTTAAGCAAACATTTTGGGGTTCGGTTATTTCTCCCTTCTTTTGGATTTATAGTGGTACTGATCAAGTCCCCACGTGTAGGAAGGGGAGGGAAAGGGGAGTGGAAAAGATATCTTAAAGTAATTGGTCAAGGCTTACCTACCTCACGAAGGGCAAAAAACAGGATTGGAAAAGGAGCTTTAACTGCATCATTCATGGCTGCTATTGTTTCAGAGAATAGTTTTATATAAAAATAAAGCCATATTCTCTACCTGTAAAGAGTAAGAAATATAAAGAACAGTCAGTCAACTCCACAAATAACTAGAATGTCATTTTTTTAAAAGTATCTTTATGTCATCGCAATGTGCCTGTCCATTTCTCTCGTCCACTCTGATGCCGTTGTGGTGACATACGTAATCCAGAGGCTAGAAAAAGTGGAAATCTTCATGGAGCAGGTAGCATCTCTGAGCAGTTGCTCCTTGTGCCTTCTGCGTAGCTTCCACTGGCTTTTCTGATTCGAGCTTGGTCCTACCATCCTGTCAACCAGACTGATGGCATTTGTGAGCATTTGAGTCATGCTTTCACATGCAAGTCTTTTACCTTACCCCAGCCAATGGAAATTATTTGCATTTGGGTTAAAAAAAAGATCAAAGAAATCCCGCTATGAACGGGAACCTCGCCTATGTGGCCTCTGATGGGTTTGTAATGCTCAAATCACTGATAAGGCGGGAAGACAAAGCTGAAGGATAGCAGGTCCATCCACAGCAGTACGCCAGCGTTCGCATAATTAAAGTTTGTGCCAGTCCATAGACAATGAGAGAATATGGCTTTCCATATGTATATAGTAAAATATATTACTATAGATTTTACATACTTCATAAGTATTTTATATTTCTTTCCCTTCTGGGAAGGGTTATAATTTGTAATAAATGCATATAATGAGCGTATTTATTTTTATACTTCTTGTCTAATGTGATCTTCTAAGTTATCGCTTTTTTAAAAGGACATATAACAAGGATAGAGTATTTATACAGTATAATATGTTACTAGAGGTAATAAATGAACCCTATAAATTTTGGAAATGGAGTGTCTTTATTTCACTGGAGTAAAACTAGTCCATCGAGTGGAAAGAGCTTGGAATCTAAGGCAATGTTACGAAAAAAGCTAAACCACTTTTTTCAAAATGACTGGTAGCTTAGACTACTAATTGACTGTGTTAGTGAAGGGGTTTGGAAAACTCTACCCATAATGTCATATACCACGTTAAAAGGGGTAATTTTGTATTTTATTACTTAACCACTAACAGGGTGCTCAGCACTGTTTCATCTTTTAAAAAAAATGGAGTGCAACTAGACTGATGCCACTGGTTTTAATAACTGCTTACAGAGGGAATATTGCTGTCAGTGGTGTTTATAACCACCAAAATATGTACAAAAGTGGCAGTTTTACCTGCTCCACTTAACCTTACCCTACTGGGAAAGAAGCAGTCAAAATTCAAAACCGTTAACTAGCAGTCAGAGGTTTCCCTCACAAATTTCTGGAGGGCCTCCTGATCATGCTTTTCTAATTAGAAGTACTGTATGAATGAACTGTTCTAACGCTGTTGGTAACACGTTTTGTAATGTTAAAATACATACTAAGCATCAAGAAACTGATTTTTGCTCCCTCATTTCTGATCTCATGACCACTGCAGTCGAGGGAAAATCTTCTGTTGAACTCGGTAGGATTTTTGCCATGGAATTTGAGACATCAGTCATTTATGAATACTTCTGGCTTTGTGTCATGTAAAAATCTATTAAAACTTCCTTTGCCAATGTTTGGACTCTGTCTTGCAGAAATAGTTCCCACTTTATTCCATGGATAAAATCCTGGCCCCTCTAAAGCACACAGAAAAATTCTCATCACATCACACTTCATTGAGCACTACTTTGTCTTTGACATGCAAAAATACTGGGGAACATTTTACTTCTAGCATTATTTAGGAGGGAGCCAATCACTTTCTGTTTTTATAAAGTCTTAAAAGTATTTATAAATACAACAAATAATACTTTAATTGTATATATGTTATACAATATACACATGTATATTTTACTACAGCAGGTTAAAATGAGGAATTTTCAAGAGAAAAAAATGCATTTTTATTTTCATTTTCCGCTGTTGCTCTTTCTCCGTGCAGACTTCATATCCTAACACATAGCTGTCGGTTGGTGTTGCCTGAAACACTCTCCGTTTAAGGGCCCAAGGAGCTACGGTCCTGAAACTGCAAGACCCTGCCATAGCTACAGAAGTGGCGAGATCCCCCGACTTCTGGGTGATGGTGACTGCCCAAATTTGCTCTCATCAACCTAGAGGAAATATTCAAGGCAAAGCTAAGAAAGCCCTGCGGAGGAAACGGCTTCTCCCGGACCTACCCGTATCAATTAAAGCAAGCCCAAGGTGCTGACATACTCTCACTTCTTGCAGTAGCGCTTAAGGAGGCCTTTGGGAGAGAAAAACGGTGTTTCACAGGCACCGCCTTTCATGCTGAAGGGAACTTGGATCCAATCAAATGCAGGAAATTCCCCCTTTTTTGACAAAAGGTGCTGAAGTGTTCTGCATTTCCAAAATGCTTCGGCCCGCATTACCTAGACTAGATCAGTCGGCCCCGTGGTTAACTAGAGCTAAGTGAGGAGTCAGAGGGGGTGAAGGAAATCAAACACATTCAGTATTTTACAGTAACAAATAGCAATAGCAACTTTTTTTTTTACACTTTTGCAAACAACTGCATAATAAAATGAGTGATGGACTAATAAAAAGTTATGATATAATGGCAGCCTATTTGCTATGGTGGCATTCATTTCTTTAGAGCATAAACATAGCAGCAGAAGGTCAACTGGTCGCCTGTATTTGTAGCGCAGCTGACCAAGACTGCATTGCCAAGTCGTAGTTTACTGACTACATATTTTTCTTTGACTAGATCGTGACTTGTCAGCAGTTGCATCTGTTATACAGTAATATGGTTCATGAAATTATATCCTATTTGTAATAGAGCTGGGTTATAGAGAACGTGCTCCAAATAATGTATTAATTAAGCAATGCAATCAACTGCTCCTTTCCAAAGCGCCCTTTAGTTACAAGAAAGGCTGCTGCTCTGGGTGACCCAGCAAAGGGAAACAACCAAAAACAATGGAGCATAGTTTAGCTGTGTAGCAATCAAGATCACGATTAAACACATCCCCTGCACCGAGAGTCTGGCAATTTACAGGTTTTATTACAAAGGACTGGATAGTTAAGTGCTTTCTGTGTGCACGTTCGTTACTGTGAGCAGGAATCGCAACACTTCATTACTGACTCACAAGGCACGCTCTTGGGAGCAGAAGGGGCACTGAAGCTTGTGTTGGGGTGGGTGTAAAAGCTGGTGCTTTCTGCCAGCCCAGGCTCTCTCTCCTTGGGCCAGGGCCACTGGTTACACTGACGCCCAAATGGGCTTCAGACCCTGGACGAAGATTGTTGTTTTCAACCAGGTTGTCTCAGCTGTCCAGCTTGACAGGTTGGGTGGGAGGTTTCCAGTGGCCAGCATTTCAGCTGAGGACAACCTCACTCCAGCTTGGAGCCAAATTTGTCCAGCTTCCTCCCAGGTTCAGAGAAGCCAGATGCTATAGCCTGTTTTTTTAACATTCTGGTGTCATAAGATAAATGGGTTTAGCTGAGTAGTGTGGGCTTGGTAGATGAAATCTGTATCTTCAAGTATTTTCAGAGGTGTGGGGAGAGGCAGGTGTCTAAATGAATGAAAAGTGTCTTCCTTAATCACCCTTGGTTTCATTGCTTTGAAAGCTGAGTGATCTTCCAGTTCTTGGTAAGGCTAAAATCTCTCTGTTGGCAGAGTGGGGCAGATGAAAGCAACATAGTGAGTAGTGCTTTGCCATTTTAGGCATCATGAAACTGAGGAAAAACTCTTTCCAGCCTTTCAGTGGCCTTAAAGAGCTTGGCATTGGCACAGAAGTCCAATCTGAGGGCTAGATCTCCAGAACCCAATCTTCAAACTTCACCATCTAAGTTACACAATAACTGGAAGTTCAAAGAGGAAAATAGTTATGCTGGAGAGCTACCTTCCAGGCTGATTAGGTGTAAAATTGTGGTATCTATGCTGGGTAAGCACTGTAAATGGTGCTACTAGAAAATTTGGAGTAGCTGTTTTCCTGTGACACTGTTAAAATAATAAATAATATGATTTACTGCTTGAAATTGTATTAACAGTAAATAGGAAAAAAAAAACCCCAGTATGTGATAGAGTTCTTAAGCTGCCGCGTTCCCCTCTCTTTAGTCCAATTGTTGTAAACACAAGAGATGTTGGTGTTGCCCAAATAACTAGTTTGCCACTGATGGTAATACATGTGGTTTCAGAGCAGAGAAAGGTTGGTGGCTATTATAGAAGTTGGTTCTGTTTGAGCTTTCAGAGTAAAGAATCAGAGTAAAGAAATAATTCTATATATGTGGTATGGAAAAATCCTGAAATTGTCTACAGCTGCTATATACTTTAGCAGCTGATACCTGCATTTCAGAGCCATCAGTTGCCTGAGTATATTCGGAGCTGTCATTTTAATGTCAGGACATTGAATTAGAGCATAAAGGCCCCAGAGTTACGTACATGAACAACACTGATTTGCCAGGTACTAGCAAAGCTGGCATTTCACTTCCTGAAATGCAGCTCCACATAGCTTGTAATGTGGCAACTGAATTCCTTCGTTCATAGTTTCACAGTAGCTTTCATTCAAATCAACATCTCCAAGCACTGTATATGTTTCAGTAAAGTCTGGCGCACCTCGTGCAGAAAAACAAGTGAGGCCTTTGCTTTTATCATTGCCACATCGCAAGTGGGTAAGCAGATGCAAAGTGACGTGATTTGTTGAATGTTGTAGGACAAATAGGTGATACGGTCTAGGTAGGGGGGGAAACTTTCCACAAAAGACCTTAACCCACTAGCTAGGTTAAGGAATGGAGAAGAAAATACTCCTAAAGAAATCCGGAAAGGCATCTTCAGAAGAATAGCCCAGACTCCTCAGCAAACACTCCCACCGTCATGTCTGGCTTCGGCTCATCAACTGGCTATGAAATTGCTCGCACAGCTTCGCTTCAACAGCCCGACGTTATTCTGGGCCTCGTACACCTGGGAAAGCTTTTCATCCCGTGCAATTGCAAACATACCTACCAACCACCATTTGGAGCAAAGATCAAATCCTGTGTGATATGGTCACGACTGCTTAGTCCTCAAGGCAAAGAGGGTATAATTAGGTGAAAAGTTTTCCCTAGCAAAGGTCACCCAAATATAGCAAATCTATTGCCCGCCCCCACACCTCCCGAAAACAGAGGCAAATCCCTAGGACATGTCTAGGCTACAACAGGAGTGTAAGTAAGCATTCAGCAATAGCCCTCATTTTGCATAAACATTTGCATTTTGCCCCATTTTGCATAAACAGAGTGCACTGTTATAACATGTGGAGGCAGAAAAAGAACAGACCAGGAGATCGCCACCTGTCCTAGCAGCGCCTGCTTGATAGCTCTTCCACGGCAGCACCAAACCTTGATGCTTTCCTGGTAAAACAGCAGCTACAAACACGCATTCATGCTTGATATTCCCCCTCAAAGTGCAAAACAACCTGTATCGACAGAAGGGAAGTCAAAACATAGTTATCAGGTTCACAACAAGTGGTGCTATGAACATGGTGTTCTAATAAATGCTTGTGCTCCCGGAGCCTGGGGCAGACTGATTATTGCTGGAGATGAAAGTAGCACTGTTTGGACTCGCAGATCTATTTTACGGTACCCGACAGTGTAAGAGGGTCTTTTGCAAAAGAGGTTTAATGTTGGGCAATAGAAGTACAGTTTCATACAGTACCTTTGCCTGTAAGCTGGCTACGTGTGCTTGATAGCTTCAGTGTGATAAAGGATAGTCCTTTGTCATACTGCAGCCTATGACCATAAGCTAATGAGATCCCAGATGCCTGGACAATATTTAAATTTAAGCATCCCAAATCTAAGTTGAACCAGAGCAAAATCTGTCATCCTTAATATACTGTACTTTTGTGTAAGAATGCTACAAAACTAATTTGAGTTTCTACCGGCTCATGATTCTTCCCAGATATTCCATTTGAATATTGAGTATTCCATTTGAAAATTAATATTTTCTCCAATATTATTGAGTTGCACTCAACTATAATACATTTTCCTACAAGCACAAAAAGGAGCTGGTTGTTCCAACACAGTGGGAACAATTGGAGCTAAGGGAAGAGGGAAGTCATATGGTAGAGATTATAATCAAGGCAAGCTGAAAGCCGTGGCCATTTTAATTGTGCACCAATATATTTTTCAGTATAACTAAGACAATATGCCTGTCTTCTCCCAAACAATTTAAATATATACTGCCACTTGGCAAGATTTTTCACGTACAAAACTGGAGATGAAATTAGGGATAAGAAAAGAACTGAAGTTCAATTATTTGGATTAAAAAGAAAGATGTCTTGTGGGTACAGCTCTGATTCAACAGGGCACTTAAGCGCATGCTTACACTCATCGTGATTTAGGACAGCACTGGTTAAACCTGAGCGAGACAGAAGAAAAGCTTACCTTCTTTTGTTTAATCTAATCTTAATTACATGTTGAATTAACTCCAGCAGCCAAACTTTGATTAGAAGTTTTTCATAGAGATAAAACTGTGTGAGAGAAGGGAGGGGAGGGGAGGG